ATCCGGCCTCAACTGTTCTTGCATAGATGTTGGCAGACAAGTACCGCGGGTATTGTCATTGCGACCTGGAGGTTATAGCCTATTATCAGTAGTAGATGTATGGCCACCATCTGCCCCTACTCAACCTATGGACATCGCCCTAGACCCCTGTCGTGCTTTGATTATTGTTATTCTGATTGGCAGGTTTGCGCAAACCTTGGTTGTATGCCGTCCGGAGGTACCCTAGCCTCTGTCATTGATTGGCAGGTTTGCGCCCACCACCCGTCCCCTTACCTCAGTCATCAACCAGACCCTCTTTCCATTGTGTAGTAACCTGTCATCACCGACAACCGCCCCCAGTTTCCATCATCAATACGTTCTAGTGCTGCTCCCCACGAATAGACTGTAGCATTTGTTAAAAAAAAAAAAAAAAAAAAAAAAAAAAAAAAAAAAAAGACCACCATCCGCTCCCCTTACGAGTTCCTATTGATGGAAAAGGTGCATGAACCTGGAGACTGCTGTCGGGCAAGGACGTGTGGAAGTCAAAGCTCTGTGGAAGTCAAAGCTCTGGGAATTGTGTGAGATAATTCCCAGAGCTTGTTCCAATAGGTCGGGGTCAACAAGTACCTACCTATAGGCGATTGTAAACTGTAGAGTGAAGACATGTGGAAGTCAAAGCTCTGGGAATTATTTCACGTAAATCTGCGCATGAACCAATGCGAACAGGATTAAAAGTGGTGGATAGCCTTGTTCCAATAGGGCGGGGTCAACGAGACCTTACTATAATTGCCTTCGTCATGATCAAGTAGGTCTACTCTGGTGTATTTCTCCCCACCGGAAGCAGGCTATCCCACCATCATCTATCCATAACAAATCGCACAGAAAACACCGTCAGTGTTTGCACTGCACACATATGTTTACACAGCGTATACAAAACTTTTCAATGGGACGCTGGACACGATTTTCCAGCAGGTGCTGGGTCCCCACCAATGGATGGACCCTTCAACACCGGGACCTGGGGGATGTTCGTATCACCCCGGTAAGCAGGCGCCCAGGAGCATGGAGTTTAACCAAAATAAAAATAAAAATAGGCAGGCCCAACTGTAATGTCCCCCTTTAGAGTCGTCATCCCAAACAGCAATGGTCTCAGTCATCACTATGTGCTAGGCCCCCATCCGTTTCTCTTACCTCTGTCATGAACCGGGCTTATTGCAGTTCATCCCCCAGAGAGGCCCTACCTCCGGACTCTCCTACGGTATCCCCCAACTAACGGGACCCCCATATTCATCCCACCTGCGGCCCTGCCCCCCCCCCAAGACAGAAGGTTAATGGAGGCCCAAAATTTCAGCGTTTTTCAATTAAGACAGGCAAAAAAAATCCAAAATTGTGGCCGATAAATCATGCTTTCAGTGTTTTACATGGTTAAACAACCAGTGCCTTTCCCCGCTTGAAAAAATCGAAGTCGTGCCGGTATATTCGGAAGCCAAGCGGGGAAGGGCTGCCGATGATAAATTTCATGGCGGCCCGTTTTTCATTTCCGGTCTCCAAACTGCCCGCGGCCGATATATGGGGAAGGTACTGGTGGTTTAACCCCATTAATCACTGGTCAGCATACAGCCACCATGGGTTGAACCCCTTGCGTGGTACAGGCAGTGCCTGTAGTCCTTACCCTGCGCCAAGCCAAAAGGGGGGTGCAGACAGATGTGCGCCGCTTAAACCACCAGTACCTTTCCCAGCTATTTTTTCAGAGGCGCGCCAGGTAACCCGCTGGCCTGAAACGGAAGGGCGGCTGCCGATAAATCAAATCGGCAGCCTCTCTCGATTTTCGGGCCGGCGCACAGTGCCCACAGCCGACATATGGGAAAGTTAGTGGTGGTTTAACACCTGCCAGTGTCCATGTGCAAGGCTGCAGATTTTTTTCCTTCAACCACCACCTAAATTTTTGCCGGGCCTCGGTTCCACTTCATTTTCTTTTCTCATATTCTCACAGGAAGAACAAAAGGAAAAAAGAAGAAGAAGAAAAGTCGCTGCTGTGAAACTCACAAAAGAGGGTGGGGGGAGGGGGGAGGAGAAACAAAGCTTTGGCCGTGAATTGTAGTTCTATACATTCTTGGAAGTGGTAGTGTGAGTGTGCTATACATTCAGTGAAGGCGTCTCAGCCCCGTGGCCGCCAGAGTGTCAGATTCAAGAAATACGAACGATAAAAAAAAGGGGGCAAGTACGTTGGAGTCACACCCAGCATTAAGAATAGGCACCTTTAGCAGTTCCCAAAATTATGGAGCAAAAAAGGCGACCCCCCTAAATCTGCCAAGCGCCACTGCGGGCAATGACTGGTGCAGTTTTAGGCCCGTGCTAAACTTGCACATTTCGAAACTCACACCATGACACGGGTGCCACTTTGTCTTTTCTTGCCTATTTCAAACTAAAAGTGTGTCACAGCCACAGTTCGCGCTGCCCCCCCTCCCCCCTCCCGACTGAACAAGGAAAAACACAGATACGGTCATGATGTTAGAGGAATGTATCTTCTTCTTCTTTTTTTTTTTTTTTCAAGAGCGGGCAATATAAAACTAAACTTTATTCTTCTTGCCGAGCCTCTGGGACCTCCAAACTTTTAGGGGGGAATTGAGAAAACTGCCAGTTTCACCTATATTTCCCACCACTGGCGGTGCGGAGTTTTGAACCCACAACCTCACACCACAATGCGCATTTCTAACAGGTGGTCAACCCACTGAGGTAATCGGCTGTCCCAGGCATTTGGTCGGTTTTAGTGGTACGTTCTCTTCAAACATGTCGTTCCACATCGTTTCACAATATTCCAGGCATACAGAATATTCCTCCATACCTTAGACTACGCGCCCCCCCCCCCCCAGTAAACCCCGCCCTTTGTTATGTTAGAAAAAGAACAGAACAAAACAAAACATTTCGGGGGCATGCATGAGGGCAGGAGAGAACAAATCCAGACTGAAACTTTTTTTTTTTTTCCCCTTTTCTTTTTGTCCATGATTTTATGAATTGTAACTGAACTTGTTCAGCCCAAATAAGAGCCTCATTGCCACAGTCGACTTTTGGTGAGTAGGGTCCTGGCTTCACCAGTCGCCACGGCCGTCATGTCAGAAGGAGGTGGGGTTTTCTCAGCGGTGAGACTGCCCTGGTGAGTAGTCACCACACTCATCATCATTTTCCCACGCCTGCAATGGCATGGCTATTGTGCTGCCTCCAGCATGTCCCCGGCCTGCCCCACCGCTGGCCTTGTTACAATTTTTGGTCTAGCGATGTGGGCACGTCATCTCATCTTGTGGGGGCGATGTGTGGGGTCTCCCTTTTTTTTAATATATATTGGGGTTGGGGGAATGTGCGAATTCGGAGGCAGGTGGTTTTAGGTGTTGGGCCTCTACGTTTTTGTTGATGTATCTTTTTTTTTTTATTGGGCCCAGTGCCCAAGGCTCCAATTATGAATTTGATTACAACATTTAACCACACGCCTCTTCCCATTAGGGATCTTGATGTATCTGGCTGTGGACTGGCATAATGGACAACTGATATAACCATTCTGGTGTCGTTGGGACGACGATTGTCAGATACGGTTGTGTAGACGTTGGGTTTGGGAAGGTGAGGGGATGGTTGAGTCGACGGAGTTGACGTGACAGGTGGTTTTAGGTGTCGGGCCCGTACATTTTCGCGTATGAATCTAGCTGTGGACGTGCATAATGGATGACTGATACAGGCAGGTATCTGCCTGGTTTTGATGGGAAGAACCATTCTGATGTCGTCGGGACGACGACTGTCAGATACGGATGTGCAGACGTTGGGTGCAGGAAGGTGAGGGGACATTAACGGTGTAGGACTTTTTTAGTTATTTATAGACGTGATTGGGCCAGATGCGTCCAGGTGGGGTTGTAATTGCAGTCGGATGCACTTTGAAAAGAGGTGGTGCGAGTATGCCCTCAGGGGTGCCCTATCCTGTCAGGACAACCATTGGCTGCCGCTGCCAGCAATCATCGTGGGTCTGGTCCTTGGCCTCTACAACACCCTGGGCTTTACTTAGAAAAAAAAAGAAAAAAGAAAAAGGGGTGGCACGTCTTCCATGATGTATCTGGTGGTAGACATTGCATAAGGGACGGCAGCTGCAGGCCTGTATTTGTTTCACGGACTGGTCAGGAGGTTAATACCAGCCAGTACCAGTCTTCACCTTCGCCGGTTTCCGTTCTGAGCATAGACTGCCCACACAGAACCTGCTTAAATTCGTGCCACAGCCATACGCTGCACAAATCGCGCCAAGTACTGAACTCACCACTCCCGCATCCCCTCGTGGGCGCATTGCGCACCTGGCCTGCTTGCCACACCTGCCAAATCTGCCGTCCTCCCCCGACAAGTTGTCCAGGCTGCGTCCCCGCGCGCTCCTCAGCAGCGCGGTCCTCAGTAGAGTCTGGTGACTGGTGTATCCAGCAGGTGTTGCTCCCCACCAATAGATCAGACCACCCGGCCTGACGACTGCCAGGGGGCTGCTTTTATCACCCCCCCTACGGGTAGTAAAAAGGAGCCCCGGGGGGGGGGGGGGGGGGGGGGGTTAAAAAAAAAAAAAAAAAAAAAAAAAAAAAAGACTTCGGTAACTGGTGGAGCGAGGCCCTGAGCGACACGGCCCAGCTACTTCCAAGGCTCCTTCGCCCCCCGCCTAAGGTCCTAGCGTCTCCTCGGGGTCTCCCTACGTGCAGCAGGGCTCGCGCGGTGACTTACTGGCATCCAGGCCGTCCACGTGAGTGAGATGGATGCCCCGGTGGTGGTCCAAGCCGCCACTTTTCGATGTCCGGCGGGCTCGTGGCGGACTGTTGACGCAGTCCGCCGCACACTGCAAGGAACTGTGGTGGTGGCGGGGACCACAGGCCTCTGTTCGACGCCCGCAAATCGACGGTCATCCTCTCTTCTCCGCCATCGCGCGTCGATCTCATTGAGTCCACCATGTTCGAGAAAACGATGGCTAGGCTGCGGTACAGAAGCGCGTGACGGTAACTGCGTCGCGGGGAATCCGTCGATTTTGTTTCCTTCTTCTTCCTCCTCCTCCTCCTCCTCCTCCTCCTCCTCCTCCTCCTCCTCCTTCGCTTTGCCTTCGGCGTCCCTCTTCATCTCTTCTTCTTCTTCTTCTTCTTCTTCTTCTTCTTCTTCTTCTTCTTCTTCGTCGTCGTCGTCGTCGTCGTCGTCTTCTGCCTTCTCACCTCCCTCTTCTTCTCCCCGTCCAATTAACCCCACCAGACGCGTGGCTCTTTCGTCGTTTTCTTCTTCCTCCCTTTCTTCTTCCTCTCCTTTCCCTTCTTCTACTCAAAGCAGTCTGGCCGTTGTTTGCCACTTTTCAACTTCTTCTTCTTCTTCTTCTTCTTCTTCTTCTTCATCGGTTCTTCTTCGGCATCGTGGAGTGTCCTGGTGGCGGTTTGCCTGCGAGCCCATCCTGAGGGAAAGGAAGACCAGCCATCGCTGTTTTGCTGTCGATCGCTGTCATCGTGCCACGTCAGCAGCCATGTCGTCGATCAACGGCATAGAAGATCCGATGACGGTAGGTGGTACGGCGGGATCCCGACGCGGCGGCGCATCGCGTCTGGAAAACGACAAACTGTTGTATCTGGTCAGGCACGGAACTACGGAGATGAATGAATGTATCGCTAACGCGCGTCTACAGGGGGTCAAAAATTTTGTAGATCCGATGTTATATGACACGAAATTGTCGGAACGAGGGTTGATGCAAGCCGAAAATCTCGCGAAGATTACGGCAGCATTGCATGGTAATACTAGTAGTAGTAATAATGCTTCTGCTGATGCTATTGAGTTGATTGTCCTTTCTCCATTAGGAAGGGCGATGAAGACAGCGGAATTAGGGTTTAAACACGTGGAAGCGGCGAGAGTGATCTGTCCTCTCGCTCGAGAGCGAGTGTTTTATTCCTCCGACGTGGGAAGATCCCCATCTGTTCTTTCTCAAGAATTTCCTTACCTCGATTTCACCGAACTAGATGAGATATGGTGGCATACCGACGGTTCAGGAGATCCCATGGCGGTGGTGCCTGAGCCCGACGATGTCTTTGCTGAGAGAATAGCACGTCTAAGGGAGTGGCTATTGAATAGACCCGAGAAAGTCATCGCGGTAGTGTCACACTGGGCTGTGCTGCAAGCCTTAACACGGCGATGCTTTCAGAATTGTGAGCTGTTCACTTGTTACCTATCAGAGACATTTCCAATTGCTACGCAAAAAAAAAAAGACAAATGAGGAAAAGGGGGACAAGAGGTAATCTGCAATATATATATATATAGATACCTAAATAGATACATATATAGATACATATGTAGATACATATATATCTTTCTATACATGACAAGAAGGTGGTCAGGAAGGAAATACTACGTCATTCGAGGGAGGTGTGGAGGAAGAAGGAGGAGGAGGGAGGAGAAGGAGGGAGGAGGAGGGAGGAAGAAGAAGAGGGGAACACTTGCATCCCTGCCGTCACATCCTTATCACCCATCAGATACAATCGGTCCGTCACCCATCAGATACAATCGGTCCGTGGGTAGATCTGGGATTATTTCCATGCTTACACGTGGCATAGGCCCACTCATATGAGTCCCATGAAGTGCAAACGTGTCTCTTCCTCCTCCTCCTCCTCCTCTTCCTTCTTCCTTCTCCTTCCGTCTTCCTCCTCCTTCCTTCTTCCTCCTTCCTCCCAGTCAGCCCGTGCTTCGGATTTATCCCGGTGGTACATCGGGGATTATCTTCGTACACGGCGGAGGCGCAGTCGTATGGATTCGATGAAGTGCAAACTTGTCCCTCTTCCTCCTCCTCCTTCCTCCTCCTTCCTCCTCCTTCCTCCTCCCTCCCGTACTGTGGATCTGTGCCGGTGGCAAATCTGGGATTACATCCGTACACGTGGCGGAGGCGCAGTCGTATGCGTTCGATTAAGTGCGTAAACGTGTCCCTCTCCCTCCTCCTTCCTCTTCCTCCTTCCTCCTTCCTCCTTCCTCCTTGTCGATCCGTGCTGTGGATCTGTACCGGTTGTACATCTGGGATTATCTCTGTACACGAGGCAGAGGCGCAGTCATATGGGTCCGATGTCCAGGCCGCTTTCTTCAATTTTTTTCTCTGCGATTATCCTCATTATTCGGATTCTCTCTACGACTTCAAAAGAAAAGATTTAAAAAAAAAGAAATCGTCGCTACAATTGGACGAACGGAAATCGTTCAAGTTGTTGTCTTCATTACCGTGGGCTGCACTGTCGTTGTCGCCGTCATCATTCTCTTCTATTTCTTTGCTGTACTATATTTGTTTTTTTGGGGGGGGCGGTGGGGGATATTGTACTATAATAGGTGTACATGAAGCTGTTTTTTTTCTTTTTTTTCTTTTTTTTCTTTTTCTTTTTTTTCTTTTTTGGCTCTATTATGTGGCCACTACGGTGTCATTGTCACCGTAACACCACAGGCTCCATCCATTCGTTCTAAGTGATGAGATCTGGGATCTGTGATCATGCGTAGGCAAGCTTCGTTTTTGAGAGCGTGAAGGAGGATGCGCTTAAGCCAGTTTCAAAGCGAAGACTGTAGAAGTTTCAAAGAGAAGACGCTATTCATTCATTCTCTCTCTCTCTCTCTCTCTCTCTCTCTCTCTCTCTCTCTCTCTCTCTCTCTCTCTCTCTCTC